CCCCAAAACCCCAAAACCCCAAAACCCCAAAACCCCATGAGCTTATTTGAATGCGATTGGAGAGATAACCTCAATATCCTTAATTTAATTCTTGAACTAGATTACATTAGATTACTCTAATATAATATCTTATTAATATAGTCCGATGTATAGAATGGCGCAACAAATACCGATTAATCAAACATATAACTACTATGTTAAAGAGTAATATATTGAGGAAATGTTCAGCTCTAGCCGAGAAATCGTAGAATAACTAAACTTTGAGCAATATCCATAAATGAGACACTTTTTAGAAAAATGCTATATTTAAGAGTAACAGGAATTTAATGCTCTTCCTTTCGAAAAATAAGTTCGAATAGATAAAAAAAAAATCATAGACGTCAGGGCTAAATAAATAAAGGTGCTGTTCGATTGTGATAAATCTATTTTCGATAAAGAGTTTTACATGCCTCTATAGTTAGGGGAAGATCTGAATGGTCATGATTTTTTCTTAGAAAAGTCTGGTATGAATGATCCACTTTTAGATAATCTGATGGCAAGTAATTATCAAGAATCTGACATTGGAAGAGTCAACTGTGTACAAATTATTGATTCAAAGGGATAAGATTAATTGAAAACATAAATCTATACTGATACTGATTAATTTCAGACTGATATGTAATCTAACCTTGATGCTTAAACTCAAGCAGGTTCATCAGTTGAAAATTCAGATTAATCTCAATCTATGAATGGAACATTAACATATTCTTCTCAAAATTTGGTAAATATAAAGGACCAAAGGTCTCAAATTGAAATTGACTCATAAGTTGATATCAGTGATTATTTTCTAAGAAACGTTCATACTTAAGACTAACACAGTATTCAAGAAATTTTGACAGACGAACAGTATGAATATGAGTGGTAAAATAAATAAAACACTTGCAAATATTAAGACAATTAACATGAACCTTTTAATGAAGAAGTCATGCAACTAGAATCTCAATTTTAAAGTGGTTTATAACAAAATTATGAAATCCTTAATAATTAGGTTTAAAACTAAAATAATATACAAGAAAACTAATTTGAAATCCACTTATAAAATCACTAAGAAGTTCTTGATAGTACTGCATCATGAAGTATAAACGAGCTCTTGATAGAAAGTGATTCTGATTCGTTTTAGGAAATCAATATCGATGCTAAAGATTAACCTTTAGTTAAGAAACTTATCTCTAGTATTCCAAAGGCAATCAAAGAAAAAAAGAAATTAATTGACGGAAAAACTCTAAGATAATGTATAGTAGAAGATGAGCTAATTTAGTCTTAAGTACAAGTATTAAATGCTTTCTTTAATGGAAAGATTGATATGAAATTCTTGTTGGGAGATGAGAAGTGAAAATGCAAAAAGTATCCTGAAGTAATAGATAAAAGATAAAAACTAAGTGATGGCTATGTTGAAATTTTCATCAAAGACATTGATAACTATTCAGCAGAAAAAGTGAAAATTACTTTGGCCACTTTTAAATCTAAGGCTAATAATAAGAATATAACGAGCTTTATCAGAAATCCTGCTTTAAGACAACTTCTCGATATTTCTGCACCTTATATAATAGGATATATTGAATAAGATATGATTAAAAAGTCTTCAGAAAAAACTTTAACTGAAGAAAACAAAAAAAGAATAGACAGAATGAGATATTTAGCAAAAAAACTTTTAAAATCGAAAGTTTATTGAATGATAATTACAAATTCTTCAACCTATACTTAATAATTGAAAAATTTATTGTAACTCATAAAAATTGCATACTTACTAATTAATAGCTATATTTTTCGAAATTTTGAAATCATCAAAGTAATATGAATTTCTGATCCATGGGGTTTTGGGGTTTTGGGGTTTTGGGGTTTTGGGGAGATCGGAAGAGCACAC